GGCTACCCGTCCACCCCACTAAAAGTATGAGTGAGTGAGTTGGGTTTAACGCCGCTTTTTTAACAGTATTCCAGTTATATCGCGGCGTGTCAGCTTAATGTGGGAGGAAAGCCCGAAGTGATGCAGGTCTCAGACGTTTACCACTTCGGTGAAACCCACGAGCACGGGTATGGTGCTGACAAATCTAGAAACATAATCGGGGCGAACCGGGATTCGAACCCACAATCATAGGTTTCTGGCGTGCCCAAGGGACGCAACTCTGCACAGCGAATCGCGGTGCCTTAGACGACTGGGCCACCTGTGCCTCCCAAAAGTATTAAAAAAGGTGTACCTATATTTGCCTTGAAATACTGTGTATTGGGTAACTCCGTGAGACGAGAGTCCGCTAGTTCCACTATCTCGTCCAACAGAAAGCACCTGTTATCGGCAGTGTAGAAAAACGACAGACAGCTGTTGCCATAGTAACACTTGTATGCACACTCTGTTTGTGATGTCATTGTAATCGGAGTGACGTCATTAACTACCATACTGGATAAAGCATTGACAAGTTGGAAAACGCCTGACATGGTAATGATGAAACAGCACAGGATGTATATATTGAAACAGTTCCCGCTCTCTTCAGCACCGAGAGACGTCACACATTCAAGTTCTGGAATTGTCACCCCTGCTGTTAACGCTGGGTTGTTTGGACGAGCTCTGGTTAGCTGGAATAGCTGTGATGGTCGTGTAAAATACCACTCACTCACTTCAGCACCGCGCGATATCACACCTACAAGTTCAGGAATTGTCACCCCTGCTGTTAACGCTAGGTTGTTTGGACGAGCTCTGGTTATCTGGAATAGCTCTGATGGTCGTGTAAAAGAACTTTCACTCACTTCGATTCAGTTCGGGAAACAACTGAATGTTGGTAGTAATGTCTCCCCGCACGACATCAACGGTGGCTATGTGAGTGTAGCGTGAATGAGCTTGCATCAACGAGGTGAGCTCCAGCGTCTACAGGCGTGGCACAATCCGCGTTGTATCTACGTGGCACTGAGGAGGGACTTGTTCCGTCAGCTGTCTTATATGCTGTCGCTGTGTTACTTGCAGTGACCATGGTGAATCATAGATTGAAATACTTTGATTTAACATGCCACTAGTTATATCATTCAAAGACTATCGATCCAGGCGAGTCACTCCTTGTTTTATATGTAACACTGTTATCATACTGAAGATTAAACAGCTATTTGTATCTGCTGTATTGTAAAGCTGAACTTTGTCGGTTTTTTAGAAGAAGGATGTAAACACGATAAGCAGTGTTTTGAATAACAACCTCTTTATGATACATACACGTTTCAGGGGCTCTTCTTGCCTCATCATCGGATGAATGGCGGTGAACAGGACATGTACATGCACATGAAACCAGTTTTTGATGGACATGTCAATTGTTATAGGAGAGTGGATACACAGTAATGTGTTTTTACAATAGATAAAATGAGGTGATAAATAGATCACATGTCCCGTGCACTGGGAAGGAAACCTCCTTGATCACGATTGATCGATTGTTGGTTCGTCTGATGTCGATAGTTTCTTGGACTCTGCGCTTCCTCTAGTTGTGAATGTTTGCACAGAGGAATTTAGTGTGTTGCCAGGAGATGGAGTGGTTGGGATTGCTGATCATATGCCCTGATGGAAACCTCTTCAGATCATTCTCCGTGCTAGCGGCAAGGGCCAGACAAAACAGACCACCCCAATCCGAGAGTATGGTTTGTTTGGTTTGTTTGTTGTTTAACGCCGCACTCAGCAATATTCCAGCTATATGACGGCGGTCTGTAAATAATTAATTCTGGACCACACAATCAAGTGATTAATATCATGAGCATCGATCCACCAATTGGGACCGATGACAAGCATCAACCGAGTCAGCGAGCCTGACCACCCGATCCCGTTAGTCGCCTTTTACGACAAGCATAGTCGCCTTTTACGGCAAGCATGGGTTGCTGAAGACCTATTCTACCCCGGATCTTTACGGGTGCCGAGAGTATGTGTCTACCCAGTGAGGTTGTGGACAATCATACATTGATCACACCTCCGACCTGCAGACAAAGTGGTTGTTATCCATAATAATACTCTTTGTTTTGTAATATTAAATTTAATGTTATAATGAATTCATAGCCTATAAAGTATGATATTGTCCTCTTCTTGCTCACGCAACAATATATTGAGAGATAAATGAGGATATCCATCCACCAACAGAGACTCGTGAGTGATAAGAGATGCCTATATTTGTGTGTGTGTGTGTGTGTGTGTGTGTGTGTGTGTGTGTGTGTGTGTGTGGCGCTAGAATCCAGTTGAAACAACTGTCGAATAGCGTTTGTTGAGACTCCGTCCCACTGGATACTTTAAAGACGGAATCCGTGAAGGTCCGGGGTAGAATAGGTCTTCAGCAACCCATGATTGTCGTAAAAGGTGACTATGCTTGTACTTGGCCAGTCAGCCACTTCTGTGCCATCTCTTCCAACGGGGCGGTCGGGTAGCCTAGTGGTTAAAGCGTTGGCTCGTCACGCCGAAGACCCGGGTTCGATTCCCGACATGGGTACAATGTGTGAAGGCCATTTCTGGTGTCCCCCGCCGTGATATTACTGGAACATTGCTAAAAGCGGCGTAAAACCATACTCACTCACTCTTACAAAATGTTGCACAGTTGGCAACAAGCCCGTGAAGATCCAGGGTAGTTCGAACTGGTCTTCAGCAACCCATGCTTGTTGTAACAGGCAACTATGCTTGTTGTAATAGGCGACTAACGGGATCGGGTGATCAGGCTCGCCGACTTGGTTGATGCCATCGATCCCAATTGCGGTGATCGGTGCTCGTGATCACTGGATTGTCTGGTCAAGACTCGATTATTTACAGACCGCCGTCATATAGCTGGAATATTGCTGAGTGCGGCGTTAAACAACCATCCAACCAACATTAAAGAGGGATACATTGACGGTACATTGTGTCTGCAGGAATGATAACTATACAGCAACGAGCCCGGGAAAGTTTAACAACTGCTTGTATTTCTACATATCTAAGATAGGTACGCAATAAATCGTAAAGAACAATGAAGAACGAAGCGTGGGCGCGTTGCAAGCCACCAATCGCTTAGAGTAATCACTCACCCATGGGTCTGCAATAATAATCGACGTGAAAATTTTAAGAATACCAAACTTAACTTCCCCGGACATAAAATGGACACTGCCGAGGTCGGATTGGTTTTGGTTTGGTTTGTTGTTTAACGCCGCACTCAGCAATATTCCAGCTATATGACGGCAGTCTGTAAATAATCGAGTCTGGACCAGACAATACAGTGATTAATATCATGAGCATCGACCCACGCAATTGGGATCGATGACATGCATCAACCAAGTCAGGGAGCCTGACCACCCGAGCCCGTGAGTCGCCTTTTACGGCAAGCATGGGTTGCTGAAGACCTATTCTACCCCGGATCTTCACATTATTTATAAATACGCGTAAATGTTTTCAAAGCTTGTACAATTTATTGACATCCCTAAAAACATAACATATGAAATATACGACTCATTGTGGTTGTTTATCCTACAATAAAACACTGCAGGGAGAATAAACCACGAGGGGCGCAGCCTCGCATGGTTTATTCTCCCTGCAGTGTTTTATTGTATGATAAACAGCTCCCACTCGTCGTTTATTTCTTAAATGATGTAAGCCACAGAGTGAGTGAGTGAGTGACTATGGTTTTACGCCCCTTTTAACAATATTCCAGCAATATCACGGCGGGGGACACCAGAAATGGGCTTCACTCATTGTACCCATGTCCGGAATCGAACCCAGGCCTTCACCTTGACAAGCGAACGATTAACTACTTGGCTACTCGGCCGCTCCTGTAAGCCACAGAAGAGAGGTGAGTCGTCAATTGTGCATTGAATGTTGTGACTTCTTAGATACCTCTGAAGGGCGGGAGAGAGTTCCGCAGTCAGGCACCTGCTCTTGTAAACGATGGTCCCAAACTCAAAGTCCAAAGTCAAAGTAACACTGGTAATTTTGTATATGCATATTTTATTCATCTTAATACGACCTCAAAATATTAACTTTCTATGAGCTATACTGCCAGACGTAAATGCCACAAAATAAAGGCTCAGCAATAAGTCTTCTTACAGCAAATAAAGCATGCCTTATGAAACATACTACTCAAAATAAGTTAAACACCACCTGATTCCTGATTTTATTACTGTAGTTATGTGACAGACTAACTTTGGCAATATGAAAGAATCAGGTGTTCTTTAACTTATTTTGAGTAGTATATAACTGATGACAAAGAAATAACCTTAAGTGAAAAGTGAGTGAGTTTTACATGCTCTTAGAATACTTCAACCAAAGTAGAGGCAATTTACGGATACCAACTTCTTTATTCACTGTAAAGGCGACGTATCGTATCGGTATAGATCTATATACAGTTGTCAAGCAAGGCTGTAAAATGAACATGGTACAAAATATATATTCCTCTACCTACTCTTATATATTCTGTACCATCTTCATTATACATCCTAGCTTGACAAGGGTATAAGGATCTATAACGTCGCCTTTACAGTAAATAATGAAGTTGTTATCCATAAATTGCCTCTACTTTGTCAGCTGTCAACTTCAAAGTAATGTCTGTCAAACAATTTCATACTTCAACCACATCATGGCTGGGGACACACTGCATTAATATGACACTTCCAGGGTACAAATAGTGTTAATAAAACACACATTAAACAATGGGTAAATCCACACGTTTGGCGCATCTCAAAATTCTGTGCCATCAGTGTTCGTTTGTTTGTTGTTTAACCCGGCACTCAGCAATATGAGGGCGATCTGTAAATAATCGAGTCTGGACCAGACAATCCAATTGTGACAGAAAAATTTAAATGTCCGGTAAGCAATATTTTAAACCGGACATTTGCGATTCCCTATCAGACATGTCCGGCGCATATGACCGTTTCTGGACCCCTGGATTGATATCATGAGCATCAATCTACCCAGTAGCGATATGATGACCTGCATCAACCAAGTCAGCGAGCACGCCCACCCAATACCGTTAGTCGCCTCTTACGACAAGCATGGGTTGCTGAAGACCTATTCTTGTATCATATCATGATATTGGTAGATACAAAACAATACACGTATATTTATCAAAGGGTGACATGTAAAATGGAATGAACATAAATTGTTATATATTATTTTCTGCTTATATATCTCAAACACCAGTTTTTCAAAATTGATTCATATGAACATTAATTAGGCTACTATTCATTTTATGATAGGAAAACTTCCTTAACATGTCAAATGTCAAGTGTTTGTCGAAGGCATATATGTATCTTTGGTTGAACCATCAAACGATGATGATGTCTCATTTACTTTGTCGGAATGAATCTAAAACTCAGTAAATTTAAAAAAAAAAGAAAAAAAAAAGGAAAGCCAACAATGAACACAATCAAATCAAAGACAATATTGAAGCACCCCCGAAACATTGTCAATACACTTATGTATGCATTCAGATATGTATCATTTTTGTAAACATAGAACTGCTAAAGAATTGACACACAGGGAGACAGCATTGACTGAGTAGCAGTTGTTCAGTGCAGGGACCATCCTGGCGGTAGCCAGTTCTCCCCACCCCCCCCCCACACCTCAAAACCTGAGCGTCCTAAACATGTCCTCCAGAGGTCAACCCAAGACAACCTCAAGTGTCCCCCAGTCCTCCCCCAGAACCTGAGTGTTCTCAACATGTCCTCACGAGGTCGACCCAGGACAACCTCAAGTGTCCCCCAGTCCTCCCCCAGAACCTGAGTGTTCTTAACATGTCCTCCAGAGGTCGACCCAGGACAACCTCAAGAGTCCCCCAGTCCTCCCTCAGAACCTAAGCGACCTCAACATGTCCTTCAGAGGTCGAGCAAAGACAACTTCAAGGATCCAGTAGTCCTCCCCAAGAATCTGGGCATCCTCTACATGTTCTCCAGAGGTCGACCAAAGAAAAGTCAAGTGTCCACTAGTCCTCCCCAGAACCCGGTTGTCCTCTACATGTCCTCCAGCTTGAGACCGCTGGCTATCATGCTGCTTGTCTTGGGTTCCGGGTACTCGCCCATGTCCACCTCCTCGGTGTTGTTCTTGTTGAAGAACAAGTCCTGAAAATCAGGGAAGTCATTTGTATTGGTTGAACAATGTGTAAGTCATAACGTAAATAGCACTGTGATACTACAATCCTGCTTGGTCACCTGATCCACCCACCTCTAATGACAAAAACAGAATAGTGGGCACCAACTTATCTTAGAATCCCAACGGGCTGACTGTGAAATGAATATATCATCAGTTGCATAAATAGTCCCCATATTTAATACTTCCATAACAGTAACACAATGTTCTCACCCGGACATGGTTGTAGTGTGACTTGTGGGTGGTGTGGGCGTCGGCCTCCTCCTGGTTCTCGAAGAACCTCTTACACAAAGTACAATACATGCCCTCCACATGGACCACACTGCTCTGAGCTGCAACAGAAGACAGTGTCCCTCGGTCATCTCTCACTCAACAGCTGGTTTCAGGTCTTGCTAATATATTTATTTTATATATTTATGATATTATTTAAATTTATTATATTTTTATTTTTATTTTCTTGTTTTATTAAGCAGAAAAAGAAAATTAACCAAAAAATTATGGAGCAACCTTTTGAAATGAATACCCAAATTTGGGTAGACATGATCTAGTCATGTGACAGACATGTTGAGACTGCGTACTGCTAGAGAGTAATGGATAGATGTCTTGCACCAGTCCTATATGGTCCCCCATGATCGTAGGACTCAATCCTCGATGTGCGAGACTGTCCTGAGAAGCCGGACACTATTCCACAAAGCAATCTTTGTACCATGATCATTATAAGCCTATGTTTAAGTATGGGAGTTACGATCATCCAAGCGCTAATATTGCTTGTGGAACAGCGCCCTGGTTTTGAGATGACTTTTTACAAGATTATCTTTACGAAAACTGCACACAAAAAATTTAGGGATCATAAATATCATATTGTTTTTTGGTAGTTAAGACAATTTCATAAAAATATTCATGACCCCAAACCCTTCTTGTCCGGCAGTGGCGGTCGGGTAGCCTAGTGATTAAAGTGTTTGCTCGTCTCACCGAAGACCCGGGTTCGATTCCCGACATGGGTACAATGTGTGAAACCGATTTCTGGTGTCCCCCGCCATGATATTGCTGGCATATTGCTAAAAGTGGCATAAAACCATACTCACTCACTCTATTTGAGAATATGATTTTTATTTGTCCGGACGGACAAGTCATCTAAACGCGTTCGTTAGCCGTGAATTGAGTAATGTCCCTCACTCACTCTTGTTTAGAATATAACAGGGTGGGTGCATCTGAACCATACCACATACAACACTCACCATAGGCTACACCATCTTTGTGAGGAGGAAAGTCTTTCTGGAATGAAAACCATTGATAATATTGATATCCTCCTTACCCAAAAGAGGAATTCTTTCATCAATTCAACTCTCTGACATGGACTAGGCAGGGAATCAGGGATGATGAGCGATCCTCACATGAAAGCTATAACATGCTATCACCGTCCACGGTATTCCGGAGGGGAGTTTACACACCAAACTAGCGTCTAGATATAGTAACTTACTGACGACCCCAAAGAGGGATTCTTTCATCTCTTCAACTACATATAAATTAAATTTTTGTTGTTGTTTTTTAGAAATTTTATTTGCAGACAAATAGCGTCTTACTAAATGTAATATCTCTGACTTGTGGGAAGAAGATTTAGATTACTACAAACTACAGTGGTGATTCGTCAAACTTTAGTGGTGTATGATACTGCAATTCAATATTGTAACTTCTGATGTGTAGTTTGTGTAGTACATTGTTCAAGTCTACCCACCAGTTGAGTGCACCTCTCAATCAGCTCATCGCTCTTCATTCTCTCCACCTCAGCTTTCTGGAACAGGATATAACTTCAGTTGACAAAACCTTATACCTGAAGCTGTCAACAGGGCTGACTTGAATTTCAACTTCTTTATTCTTTCAATGTTTTGGAACAAGCAAAGGTGCACTTGTTTGAATGAGTGAGTGAGATGGGTTTAACACCGCTTTTAACAGTATTCCAGTTATATCACAGCGTGTTAGCTTAATGTGGGAGGAAAGCCCGAAGTGATGTAGGTCTAAGACGTTTACCATTTCAGTGAAACCCATGAGCACGGTTATGGTGCTGACAAACCTAGAAACATAATCATAGGTTTCTGGCATGCCCAAGGGACGCAACTCTGCACAGGGAATTGTGCCACCACCCCCTCCCCCAACCCCTCCTCCTCTTGTTTGAAGGAACAAAGATGATACTGAAATTCATGTCACCCCTGTCGTTATTGATGCTACAGCTTCTGAAGTGCTACTTAGCGAAACAGTTACTGCACACTTAACACCAAGAGAGGGCCTCCTATTACCATGACAACAGCAGTGGTAACACAATATAAGTACTAAATCTGTAATCATTTCTCACATTGCATGTCTGCATAATAGTACAGATAGTCTGTAGGATGGTACACTATATCCTCATGGAAGTTTTATAATGGATCGTAATGGGGCATGCTTACAGACCTATGAAATATGATAAACCCAAAATGTTTCTTATTCTTTGTTCAACTTTTTTATGACACATCGATCAGGATTGATCGATTCTGAATTTCAAAGTACTTGTCATCAGCGACTCAAGGGAGGGCAACTCAATATTATCGCGGTATGGCTATTTTGTGGTGTGATATGTGTAGATTAATTTGTTTACATCACTTCCTGTTTTGGATTACACAAATCAGTATGCATACGACCAAGGTTGGGTCAAGGGACTTCGTCTAAACAAACGGGTTCTTTTGTTTTGATTTAGGGGTAATCCCACATCAACAATATTTCAGAAATTATCATAAAACAGTTAATGTGTAGTCTTACGAATAGCTGTGACGTACCACAATAAGTCCTGTATTTGATCAAGCGATGAAATATCGTGCTTAGACTCGCATAAGCAAACAGTCGACAGGGAGTGTGGATTACGAGATTTACCAATACCACGATAATATAGAGCCTAGAGTCATACAATATATATCAAATTATCAAGGTACATAGGCCTACAGATACTTCAGAATAAAATATTGAGTTGAACATTCACAAGAAAAAATATATATAATCTCTCTTGAGCTCTTTCTGTAAACTAACCAAGCACACAATATCACACAATATACTAGATCATAAACGAATGATAAAAGAATTTAAGTTTTCCACTGAACTTGTGCCCCTTGAAATTAACTTCAGTGAAGGGAGATAACTCAGTAGTCATACAGAGTGCATACCACTTGAAAATATAATGTACATTTCCAAATGGTGGGTCATGAATGTTGCGTGTCACATTAAGTTTGTTCACACCATTTAACAAGCGGAGCATTGAACATGTTATGATGTGAGGTGCCTACCTCTATGTGAGTGTTAATCTTGCAGTGGGCCTTGTACTCGGGGAAACTGTTGAAGGGCTTGGTCTTGCAAATTATACATCCAAGCTTAATTGTGTTACAGCGAATCTGAAATATAGCATAACAGTATTAACTGATGGAATACGATTGTGTCAGCAACATCTCCAGCATATACCAGTTGCCCAAAGACTAATCAGACTGGAAGCAGGAGACACTGACCTCCAGTTGGACAAATGACAAGTAAATGTTTGAAGAATTCAACCACGCCAACTGTAGCTAGTTATCTGATGAAAGATGATTAACATTAAAACTAAAGGGTTAACATGGTTAAGTGGGTGGGTGAGTGAGTTTGGTTTTATGCCGCTTTTAGCAATATTCCAGCAATATCACAGCGGGGGACACTAGAAATGGGCTTCACACATTGTACCCATGTTGGGATTCGAACACGGGTCTTTGGCGTGACAAGCGAATGCTTTAACCACTAGGCTACCGGACCGCCCCGTTAACATGGTTAAGGTAACTCAGGGATTTATCAAGGATTCTAAACTAAGAGCCCCAGGCAGGCACATAGGGAAAATATATGTGTTATTTTGGTCAAATTTGGGATTTATTAATTGTCCTTATCTAAATTCCCAGTTATTTTAACATTGTATTTTGACTTTGTTTGTTTGTTAGTTGTTTAACAACACACTCAGCAACATTCCAGCTGTATGACGGCAGTCTGTAAATAATCGAGTCTGGACCAGACAATCCAGTGATTGGCATCATGAGCATCGATCCATGCAATTGGGATATAATGATATGCATCAACCAAGACATCAAGACAAGACGTCTGACAATCCAATCCCGTTAGTTGGCTCTTACAACAAGCATAGTCGCCTTTTATGGCAAGCATTGGTTGCTGAAGACCTATTCTACCCCGGATCTTCAAGAGATCAGCAAGTCTGACACTGTTAGTTGCCCCTTGCAACAAAAGGACATTTGTGATATTTGGACATTTATCAGCCAATGACTCATTAGCAAATTAAAACTATCTGATAATTCACTGCAAATAGTTTGAAGAAACTTGAAGAATGACGAAGACTGTTATCAGACTGACCAGACAAATATGTGATATGATTAACATAAAAATTTCACCTTATGAAGTTCCAAGTTTTTATGGTCCGAGTAAGGAATGTGTAGGTCAAGGTCGCAGATCGAGCAGTACCTGAACACAAGAAGAACATTTTGAACATGGCCAACTTCCCAAATCATTAAAATATGGTATTCGTTTGTTTGTTGTTTAACGCTGCACTCAGCAATATTCCAGCTTTAAGACAGCGGTCTGTAAATAATTGAGTCTGGACCAGACAATCCTGTGATTGACATCATGAGCATCGTTCAACACAATTGGGATACGATGACATGCATCAACCAAGACAGTGAACCTGACCCCCCAATCATGTTAGTCGCCTCTTACAACAAGCATAGTCGCCTTTTACGGCAAGCATGGGTTGCTGTAGACCTATTTTAACCTAGATCATCACAAGTCAATATATGGTATTCAAAACATTGGGTCCATGCAGAGTTTTAGGCGCCAAATATCTGGCAATTTCAAGGCTTATTGTGCCATGTTCATGTGGTTGATAGCACAAGCACCGGGTGAGATGACAATGTCAGCCAGGTCATGTATGGGGTACAAAAACCCTTCAGGGAAAGATGCATTGGTACTGTGGATGTACGCTGCCCTGAATCCCCACAGGGACAAAAGCAAAGGGTACTGGGGACCTACTCTGTCCTGAATCCCCACAGGGACAGAAGCATGGGGTACTGGGGACCTACTCTGCCCTGAATAGCCACAGGGACAGAAGCATGGGGTACTGGGGACCTTCTCTGCCCTGAAACCCCACAGGGACAGAAGCATAGGTACTGGGGACCTACTCTGCCCTGAAACCCCACAGGGACAGAAGCATGGGGTACTGGGAACCTATTCTGACCTAATCCGCCATGCAATCCTTACATTGAGTAAAGCATAGATTACTGGACCTTACTGTACCTTACCGGACCTTACCTTGACCAGAAACATGGGTTACGATGTACAAGCACCACCCAGACAATGATGGGGTGCAGCATGGGATGTTTTCTGCCCCAAAGTCCCCAGTGGTTGTCCAGTCAGGACCTAACTTACATCAGTGACTTTTGATCCTTGCGCTGTTGAAAGATCTTGGCAATTGCTTCATGGACCTGCTTGGTGATGTACGGCGGCATCTCCTCGACGCGGGCCATCTGGTTGGAGTGAGTGTGTGACTTGTGGTGGTTCAGGAAGTCCTGCAGTGGTCATAACGACATGAGGGCAAGTGACTTGTATGTCTGTCTGTCTGTCTGTCTGTGTACCACGTTGCCAACTGTGTTTGTTTGTTTGTTGTTTGTTGTTTGTTGTTTAAAGCTGCACTCAGCAATATTCCAGCTATATGATGATGATCTGTAAATAATTGAGTCTGGACCACACAATCCAGTGATTGACATCATGACCATTGATCCACGCAATTGGGATACGATGACATGCATCAACCAAGTCAGCGAGCCTGACCATCCGATCTAGTTAGTTGCCTCTTACGACAAGCATATTGGCCTTTTATGGCAAACATGGGTTGCTGAAGACCTATTCTACCCCAGATCTTCATGGGCCACAAGTGACTTGTAGTAGATGCTGATTGGAAGAACATCTCAGTCATATTAACATGAACACCAGTTAGATTAAAGATGTAAAATTCATGGAGTGAATGAATGTTATTAGGCTGCGCAGCATTCAGTAGAATTCCAACAATATCACTACTGCAGCGTACAAATTATTGAGTCTGGACAAAAACCAGTGATTGAAAGCATGAGCAATGATCCACGCCATCTTTGTCTTATATCTAACCCTGCTTGTTGTGTTATATCTCAGCATGTTACATCTTCATGTTATATCACACCAAACTGTGACATATCTTACACCAATGTGTTATATCTCACCATTTTGTGTCATATTTCACCACATTGTTATAGTTCACCACATTGTATATCTCAATCTTGTGTTATATTTCACCACATTGTCATATCTCACCACATTGTGTCATATCTCACCACATTGTATTATATCTCACCACATTGTGTTATATCTCACCACATTGTGTCATATCTCACCACATTGTTATATCACCCCATCTTGTGCCATATCGCCCCATCTTGTGTTATATCTCCCCATCTTGTGTCATATCTCACCACATTGTGTTATATCTCACCATGTTGTTTCGGGCCAGGTAGCTGCAGCCAGGACAGTAGAGAGACAGGGTGTCCGGGTTGGTCGGCTGCACACAAACACAACACGTCAGTAGTGCAAGGAAACTGTTAACACTGGCAAGTTACATGCTCTTACAACAAGGGGGAAAATTGTTAACGGTAGCAAGTTACATGCTCTCACAAGAAGGGAAAAACTGTAAACCCTGGTTAGTTACATGCTCTTACAACAAGGGGAAACCAGTTAACCTTGGTAAGTTACATGCTCTCACAACAACGGGAAAACTGTAAACCCTGGTTAGTTACATGCTCTTACAACAAGGGGAAACCAGTTAACCTTGGTAAGTTACATGTTCTCACAAGGGGAAACCAGTTAACCTTGGTACATTACATGCTCTCACAACAAGGGGGAAACCAGTTAACCCGTAACTGTACGAGGGACGATGATAACCACACCAGGACCACATGTGGTAAATAGAATGAGAAAGGATTCCTGCTGTCAGTGAGAGCACGAGTTTGGTAAAACACCGCTTTGAACAATATATTTTCTTTGTTTGTTTAATGCCACACTTAGAAATATTCCAGCTCTATGGTGGTGGCTCATAAATACTTGAGTGAGTGAGTATGGTTTTACGCCGCTTTTAGCAATATTCCAGAAATATCACGGTGGGGGACACCAGAAATGGGCTTCACACATTGTACCCATGTCGGGAATCGAACCCAGGTCTTCGGTGTGACGAGTGAATGCTTTAACCACTAGGCTACCTGACCGCCCCCTCATAAATACTTGAACCTTGGCCAGATAAACCAGTGATCCCGTTAGTCACCTCTTACGACAAGCATGGGTTGCTGAAGACCTATTCTATCCCAGATCTTCAAGGGTTGTCAACTCTTACGAGAATCAATGACATGCATAAACCAACTCAGCGAGCCTGACCATCCGATCCTGGGACACCCACAGCAACAAGCACATCTTCCTGAGGCAAGAGAGTAAACTGACTATGAAAGTCCAGTTTCCACCCCTGCCAAACTAGGCTGGTATTATGGAGTTACGTTTTGGCTGGACTAACGAGTCTATGCATAGGCCAATTACAATCCCACAATGAAATCAGAATCAGGTTCGTATTCTGTCGTGCAGATTTTGGTCGTTTGCAGGATTTGTAAATCATTTGCACCTCCAACTCGTTGTCAGCAGATATTTTCCAAATCTTTTTATGTTTTTAATCTAGGAGCTTACATGATTTGATGTACTTTGCGATGTAATACCCGTTTTATCACAATATTGATCTTGATTATTGATCAGATTGTCTTGAATGGGTGCTGCCATTTAGTTTGAAGCAAATGCAAGTGATACGAGAGGTGGAATCTGATTGGTCCAAATGAGAGGCATAGAAGGGACATAACTCATAATAGCCACTGGTGGCGCTACGATCGAGCCCAGGAATTCCAACCTAGTTCGGAAAGGGTGGAAACTGAACCTTTAAAGTCAGTAAACTCTCTTGCCTCGTAGTCACGATATGGCTGAAACACTGCCGATGTGACTATAAATCTTAACTCACTCACTCTTGCCTCGGGAAGATGCAACAAGCACTGCATTCAAACAGACTATGTTCCAATATGAAAACAGCATTCTTACCATATTCTTCTTCATGGCTTCCAGATAGAGTTTACCTGCAACACAATGTCGATGAAGATTAAAAACTAATAATGGCATTAAGTCTTTGAAAGGCATTTAGAAGTGATACACATAAGGAAGAGAATTTAATGTCAATTTAATGAGGAACACAACCTTTTGGAGTATATGGAGTATATATACTCCAAAATTGTCCTTCGTCATGTGATGGAGTAAGCACATACTCTAAAACGTTCCTTCGTCACCTGATGGAGTAAGCACATACTCTAAAACGTTCATTCATCACCTGATGAAGGAGTAAGCACATACTCCGAAACGTTCCTTCGTCACCTGATGGAGTAAGCACATACTCTAAAACGTTCATTCATCACCTGATGAAGGAGTAAGCACATACTCTAAAACGTTCCTTCGTCACCTGATGGAGTAAGCACATACTCTAAAACGTTCATTCATCACCTGATGAAGGAGTAAGCACATACTCCGAAACGTTCCTTCGTCACCTGATGGAGTAAGCACATACTCTAAAACGCTCATTCATCACCTGATGAAGGAGTAAGCACATACTCCGAAACGTTCCTTTGTCTCCTGATAGATTAAGCACATACTCCGAAACGTTCCTTCATCACCTGATGAAGGAGTAAGCATATACTCCGAAACGTTCCTTCATCACCTAATGAAGGAGTAAGCACATACTCCGAAACGTTCCTTCGTCACCTGATGAAGGAGTAAGCATATACTCCGAAACGTTCCTTCGTCACCTGATGAAGGAGTAAGCATATACTCCGAAACGTTCCTTCGTCACCTGATGAAGGAGTAAGCACATACTCCGAAACGTTCCTATGCACCTGATGAAGGAGTAAGCATATACTCCGAAACGTTCCTTCGTCACCTGATGAAGGAGTAAGCATATACTCCGAAACGTTCCTATGCACCTGATAAAGGAGTAAGCATATACTCCGAAACGTTCCTTCGTCACCTGATGAAAGAGTAAGCACATTCTCCGAAACATTCCTTCGTCACCTGATGGAATAAGCACATACTCCGAAACATTCCTCCATCACCTGATGAAGGAGTAAGCATATACTCCGAAACGTTCCTTCGTCACCTGATGAAGGAGTAAGCATATACTCTGAAACGTTCCTTCATCACCTAATGAAGGAGTAAGCACATACTCCGAAATGTTCCTTCATCACCTGATGAAGGAGTAAGCATATACTCCGAAACGTTCCTTCGTCACCTGATGGAGTAAGCACATACTCCGAAACATTCCTTCGTCACCTGATTGAGTAAGCACATACTCCGAAACGTTCCTTCATCACCTGATGAAGGAGTAAGCATATACTCCAAAACGTTCCTTCATCACCTGATTGAGTAAGCACATACTCCGAAATGTTCCTTCATCACCTGATGAAGGAGTAAGCATATACGCCAAAATGTTCCTTCGTCACCTGATGAAAGAGTAAGCACATACTCTGAAATGTTCCTTCGTCACCTGATGGAGTAAGCACATGCTCCGAAACGTTCCTTCGTCACTTGTTGAAGGAGTAAGCACATACTCCGAAACGTTCCTTCGTCACCTGATGGAGTAAACACATACTCCGAAACATTCCTTTGTCACCTGATGGAGTAAGCACATACTCCGAAACGTTCCTTCGTCACCTGATGGAGTAAGCACATACTCCGAAACGTTCCTTCGTCACCTGATGGAGTAAACACATACTCCGAAACATTCCTTCGTCACCTGATGGAGTAAACACATACTCTGAAACGTTCCTTCGTCACCTGATGGAGTAAGCACATACTCCGAAACGTTCCTTCGTCACCTGATGAAAGAGTAAGCATATACTCCGAAACGTTCCTTCGTCACCTGATGAAGGAGTAAGCATATACTCCGAAACGTTCCTTCGTCACTTGATGAAAGAGTAAGCATATATTCTGAAACGTTGTGTTCCTCATAAAAACAAGTTGACATCCATAAATTCTCTTCCTTAAATAATGGCGTGGGATTATTGAAGAAAAGGAACGGAACTGACATGTCTATTGCTCCCATACACATGCTACTGTATCTGTAGTATGCTATCATGGTAAACATCATACCACAACGTGAACATCTGAATTCAAAATATCTGCAATCATTTAGGGATCTGGAACCATATTCAAGATTTCCAAATTTAAAAAAACATTAAGCTTTTCAATTTGTTTTCTAAAGTTTCAACTAAACATTTTCATAATTTTAACTACATTTTTCCTTTCATTGCAACGGATGTAATAACATTATTCATGTTAATATCACATGTCATCACTGAAGCAAGACCTTATAAGGATGTGGAAATGGTAAGGATCGGTAAAGCCAGATTGAAAATGCTGATTGAGCTGAATAATTGGTTTTCTTCACTGACCATATTTTCACTTGGAAATATACACTTTAAGCTCTTATGCAGTGCAAACTCACAAGCAGTGTTGAACATACAGGGATGAGAATGGCTATTTTCCTTTTCAGCTGAAACTTCTTTGCAATGGAGCGTGGTCCATAATTTGGGGGTGTTTTGGGGGAAGAAATGAGATTTTAACAAATTTGAGGTCACTAAAATTTGTGGATCTGTGCAAGATTCTTACTCCTCCACATACATTGCAAGACTATTGAAGCTTATGAAGAGTGGCAGTTAGGAGAACTAGAATAAGACCGTTTTCTTTCCATTTTACCATCTTCAAAATTACATCATGAAAATGCCTGATCAGCTGGCAAGGCAACACTTTCCATAACCATGTAATCCTCGGTTGAAAATATTTTCATCCTAAAAAAGACTTCCAAAAATACATTCACATCAACATATTCTGTGCTTAACACAGAATAAATTACAAATTTACTGCCGAACACGGTTCCATCACGTTACCATGGTTACAACATGGAACATATTCTCTAAGCTGAATCAAACTCTGTACGGTGGCCCACAGTCCTGTGACCATATTTGCTTGTTCAGTGTTTCACCATGGCCTGGTCCAGGCCAACCAATGGCTACAACCACAGTCCTGCGTGTCTCATTACCACGTCTGGGACGTGACAATGACTATATGTTAATGTCTCTATGATGGAAGGCAGCTTTGTTTCGAGGTACAATCAATCATCTTACACTGTTTGGGGTCGGCCTGCAACAGACAGAACATACACTTCACTGGGTTGCCATGGCGACACTGTGGGGGAGGGGGGAGCGATGGCCGACGGCACAGACTTACCCAGGTAGTACATCTTGAAAAGCTTGAAATAATCAAGTAATGGACTACAACTTGACAGTCAAATCTTGAAAAGCTTCATACTTTCATGAAGTGACTAAAATTTTGGTCAAATCATGATTGAATTAAAATTATTGAGTAGTGGACTTAAATTTGAGAGTCAAATCTTGAAAAGCTTGAAATTCACAATTATCACACTTAAATTTATGCTGTAGCATGTCTTGTATAGGGATCTTCTAAAGCTCTACCTTTTAACATTAATACCAAGGACAGCTTGGCCTTTCATGCCTAACTTCAAACAATGCATACATCCATTCCACACAGTACCTTTACACAAATACAAATACACATGCCCTATTTGGGAGTTATGAACAGAAAGAACTGAATTAATAACCCAGCTGCATGTATTGCCGCATGTAATGCCTGCTGCTTCTAAAGATTCAATCACATTTCTGAGTCAAATAGGTAGTTAATAATTGAGTGAATGAGTGAGATGGGTTTAACGCCGCTTTGAACAGTATTCCAGTTATATCACAGTGTGTCAGCTTAATGTGGGAGGAAAGCCCGAAGTGATGCAGGTCTTAGACGTTTACCACTTCAGTGAAACCCACGAGCACGGGTATGGTGCTCACAAACCTAGAAACATAATTGGGGTGAACTGGGATTCGAACCCACAATCATAGGTTTCTGGTGTGCCTAAGGGACGCAACTCTGCACAGTGAATTGCAGCGCTTTAGAAGACTGGGCCACCCGAGCCCCAGTTAATAATTGAACCAAGAGTGGGTAAAGTGTCAGAGGTTTTTGATGCACTAGCGTACAAAATATAATGACCTTCCAAGAATACTTGTCATATTTTTGGACGACCCTCCCCATGTCCTTGTACATTTTTTTCATGACCCTCCCTGCAAAGACACAATGCAAAAGCACTTTATATTTTATTGTCCATTTTTTCATGACCCTCCCCAAATGTATGTAATTTTTTTTGTGATCCTGCTTTTTTGATGACCCTTCCCGATTCCCTATGACCCACCCCTGCTATAATAAATGACCAGGCCCTTACCGAAGTGAGTCGACATAATCATAAAAAGTTCAAAAGGTAGCTTAAAAAATAGTAAACAATGCCAGTATGACCAATCCAACTGATGGCAGTGAATTGTTACTTCCTTGTCCTGATTTAGACACAATCTGATTGGTTGATCAGTGCACCATGTTGCCAACTGTGTTTGTTTGATTGTTTGTTTGTTGTTTAACACTGCCCTCAGCAATATTCCAGCTATATGACGCCGGTCTGTAAATAATCGAGTCTGGACCAGACAATCCAGTGATTGAAATCATGAGTATCGATCCATGCAATTGGGATACGATAACATGCATCAACCAAGTCAGCGAGCGACCACCCAATCCCATTAGTTGCCTCTTACGACAAGCATGGGTTGCTGAAGACCAGTTCTAGCCTGGATCTTCACGGGCTTGTTGCCAACTGTGCAACATATTGTAAGAAGAGATGTCACAGAAGTGGCTGACTTGCCAAGTACTGCACAAATTTGAGACACTGTATCATATCTTTAATAGATAAATATATAAGTTTTATATATGATGAGCAGCGTTAGAAATTGGCACTAGTCCTATAGTCCTTGCCAAACTGCCCATTAGTAAAGGTATCATAAGGACTAGTAGAAATTTGCCCTTTAAGTGGTTTTGCTATATGTTATTATTGTAAGGACACTAGTGGACGAAAACTGTTAGCTTCTAACCCTGATGAGTGAGTGAGTGAGTGAGTATGGTTTTACCCCACTTTTAGCAATATTCCAGCAATATCACGGCGGGGGACACCAGAAATGGGCTTCACACACTGTACCCAGTCGGGAATCAAACCCTGGTTTTTGGCGTGACAAGCGAATGCTTCAACCGCTAGGCAATCCGACTGCCCCTTATATGATGAGCTGATGAGTGAATGCTGTTTTATACCACAGTCAGCAATATACCAGCAATAGAACTTTGGCCTATAAATAATCGCGTCTTGACCGAAGACATTAGTCAATGATTTGAGCAATATTCCACGTAGTCAAGGCATGACATGCAGTCAAGACATGACGACACACAATCAACAATATACCCTGTCTTGACCACACAATCCAATCTAGTTGCCTCATGTGTTTGTTTGTTGCTTAATGCTATCCACAGCAACATTCCAGCTATATGACGGCGGCCTGTATATAATCAAGTCTGGGCCAGACAGTCCAGTGATCAATATTGTGAGCAACGATCCACGCTGTTGGGAGATGCTATACATCGAGCCACTGAGCCTCACTATTTGGTCGCCTGCTACGACCCCCAAAGGTTCTTGGGACTCCATCTTACCCTGAATACCTACAGGGAGGTTGCCCCTTACAAGTAATTGACAGAGTAGAGTGCTAGGGACCGTTTTTAAAACTGGTAGACACGGATTTTGATTAATGAACTCTGAATTCTGATCAATTACCAGAATGAATGAATGATATTTTTCTTTATACTGTTTACTTTATATACGAAATATCAGATTACTTCATGTCGTTACAGCGAGGCAGCCCTTACCCTGCCTCCATGGCTGTCTCTTTTGTAGGGGTGGTCGTCTCCCCTGGGGCCCATTGGGCGTCCTCCCATCCCGTTGCCATAGGGACCCATTCCCCTGCTTCCCCTATGTGCCCCCCGCGGTCCTCGTCCGGGTCCTCTTCTTGGTCCTCCCCTGGGTCCCCCTCTGTGATCCATCATTGGCCGAGGTCCTCTGGCCTGTAAACACAGGATCATATGAAAACTACTGCACAGTAAAAGCAATGATAGAAATTGGCACTCGTCCTGCAGTCCTTGCCAAACTGCCCAATAGTAAAGATATCAGAAGGATAAGAAGAAATTTTCCATTTTTAAGGGTTTTGCTATATGTCATTCTTATAAGGACTAGTGTACTAAAACCGTTACTTTCTATCGCTGAAAATGTCAACAAAGATAGACATAGACCATCTGTATCTTGATGGTTCAACACTAGGATTACGACAAGAATCCCTCGATGTTAAAGTATCAGATTACTGCATGTCGTTACAGCGAGGCAGCCCCTACCCTGCCTCTATGCCCGTCTCTCTTGTAGGGGTGGTTGTCTCCCCTGGGGCCCATTGGTCGTCCTCCCATCCCGTTGCCATAGGGACCCATTCCCTGCTCCCCCTATGTGCCCCCCCCCAAGGTCCTCATCTGGTAATTTCCATCCCTGTTCACCCTTTTGCATTAAAATGCGTTCAGATTGGATGGTTAGACTTATCATAGTCAATTCCAGGGGAGTGCAATATAAAAAATATAACCATAACATGATAACAGTGCAATACGGCTGTCAGTAATACAAGGATTGCAATACAACCCTTGTGTATTGATATTTTTTAATAGTCACTGAAGAATTAATATATAAAAAATTATATAATTTTTTCTGCTATCTTGAGGCATTTGGATGGACGGAGTTCCTATGTGAACCAAGTAAACGGCAGACGTTTCACGCTGTTTACATAAACATTCCATGTTGATGATGTAATAGGTATTCTTGTTTCTCCATACTACCCATCTCGTGGTCTGTAAATAATCGAGTTTGGACCAGACAGACCAGTTACTGACATCATGAGCATCAATACACGCGAATGGGATACGATGACATGCACAAACCAAGTCAGCGAGCCTGATCACCCGATCCCAATAGCCGCCTTTTACGACAAGCATAGTTGCCTTTTATGGCAAGCATGGGCTGCTGAAGACCTATTCTACCCCAGATCTTCACAATTCTGGATAATGGAATGAAGAAGTACCATTTGGACAGTACAAATACATATCATTTGAGCCACAATAGGTATTGCAGTATGTATCGCAATACAACTTTCCATGTTGTGATATATTGCAATACAATATACGTGCCAATGCGCCAACCATAGTCAACTCTAGGACCTGGAGAGGTGAGGTGAAATTGGGTTTAGTGAGTGAGTGAGATTGGTTTTACGCCGCTTTTAGCAATATTCCAGCAATATCACGGCAGGGGACACCAGAAATGGGCTTCATGCATTGTACCCATGTCGGGATTCGAACCCGGGTCTTCGGCGTGACGAGCGAACGCCTTAACCACTAGGCTACCCGACCGCCCCGAAATTGGGTTTAACATCGCGTCCAAGATTATTGCATTTATATACGACATGCCTGCACGTGTGTGTGTGGCTGCTTGTACTAGTCCAGACTGATGACAATTTATAGTGCTAGCTCACTGAGATACTATGCCGCAGTTTAACATGAATATCCCACTCAGACACAGTATCCTGACTCCGAGCCCTTGTTTTAGCCCCTTAATGCCGAGCGCCAGGCAGGGTAATAACAAGTACCATCTTTTAACCTCTTTTGGTATGACGCGGGAACGAACCCCGGACCTTCCGCTCTCCGGGGATGCTCTACCACCGGACCACGGAGGCGGTCAGGACCAGAAGAAGCAAAAGAAAGACTCACCAAGCCATGCTGTCCCATCCCCCTGCCTCGTACTCTCACTGGGCCAGGACCTATCCCTTCACTATAGTATGGATCTTCATAGCCCTCATACTCATAGTTGTAAGGCTCTTCATACGCCTCCTCATACTCGTAGTCATAGCCACCAGACTGCCCCATGCCTACGTTGCTCACGCGATCGGTGAGTTTATCAATGACATCACTCTGTTTCCTCAGGAGCTCCACAAATGTAGCCTGTCGATTGGATGAAGGGCCATCTTGATATTGACGACCTTCATACTGACTGTCATCATACTGTGTGTCCCCGTATTGATGACCTCCGTACTGAGTGTCATCATACTGTGTGTCCCCGTATTGATGACCTCCATACTGACTGTCATCATACTGTGTGTCCCCGTATTGATGACCTCCGTACTGACTGTCATCATACTGAGTGTCTCCGTACTGACGATTTTCAAACTGATCAGCTTGGCGGAAGTTGCGCCTCATCTAAATAATAAGACAGAATGTGAATGATTATTAAACGCCTCTGACTGAGTGAGTTGAGTAAGTATGGGTTTATGCAGCTTTTAGCAATATTCCAGCAATGTGAAGACGGGGGACACAAGAAATGGGTTTCACACTTTGTACCCATGTCGGGAATCAAACCCAGGTCTTTGCGTGACGTCGAACGCTTTAACCACTATGCTACCCGACCGCCCCTAAACACTTCTGAAGAAGCCAGTGGAAGTGGGCGATGTCAAAATAATCATGAGTGAGTGAGTGAGTGAGCGAGCGAGCGAGTGTTTTATGATACTCACAAGGGTTAGTTGTGAGGTAAGGTATTGGTTAGCTATCTCTTTTACTGAATAAATTGATTGTAATTTGAGGAAACTCTGCACATTTTTTAAGTTTTGAGTTACTCAGAGAAAATGGCTACTGCGCATAGTAATGTGCATAAAGGTCAACATTTGCGAAGGAGTCGGGTCTGAGGGTCCTTGTTTTCTCATATGGACCTCATCAAGAGTAATCATTCGTTTTGTTTTACCGAAATTCACTTTAAAGTTTATGAAGTCTTTAAACTGTCCTCTGTTTCATTACAGTAACTTATCTGCAAATCGTAGTTTGTACCAGACGCCATCTTGTTTTCTATCAAAGGAGTCAATATTCATCATGTGATGAGTCAATATTGGAGGTCAGTCGCATGATTTCGGGCTCTACATTGAAACAAATTGTTTCGTCACATGATACGGATTAACCAATGGAACTGCAAGATTCTTAAAATAACAATACCCTATGATGTAATTTGTGAAACTGTTGCCAGATACACTGGTGAAACAATGCCCTGTGCTGCCAGGGGTCATCAAGTGTGCATAAGCTCCCCTCAGTAATCTTTTATCTCTGCGCGCGATGTCACTGAATAAGCCCAGTGATGTTGTGAGTTTCAATATTTGTTTACTAAATATAGCGGCACATTTTATAGCAGGTCCTAGTTTATGAAAGCATTTTATTTTCAGTATATATATTTTTTCGGTTTTAACTTAATTAATGGGGATGAATGGATTGCAAACGGGAACTAAACTGCACATTTTATTTTTTAGATTTGGTAGTTTTCATTATTACTCACAGAAATGCAGTTTATTTCTAAACGCCACCGGTCCGAATACTATCTATCTCCCGTGGGACTTGTTTTGTAATAAAACAATTAGATTTGTATTGACAAGGGTGGATACAAGGCTATAAGAGCTGTTTGACGTCCGGAGCCGTTTGTGCCATATTGGCTCATCCCTCACTACACGAGATCTTGTAGATTACGGAATGGGACAAGTGTGCCAAATGGCATTGGGATCACCCGTGAGTGTCTGTAGACTAAAGTCACAAGAAAGCCAACCCGTAACCTTTGGAAGTATCTGTCATCTAGTCAATACTTTATGTTCAGTACCGTAATGAATCAGGCATGAATCAGGCGTGTGGACGTAGATCAGTCAGTTCGCTGTTTGGATAACAATCCGAAGGTTGTGGGTTCGCGGTCCGACACAAAAAACTGGTTGCTTGTCTTTGAGACAAATGACGTTCGGCAGAGATCGTATGTAAGCATGGACACTTAATACGATTTAAGGTCCACGCTCTAGGTGAAGATTATATTCATGAATGATAAGTGAACGGATGACCAAACAACTTCATTAATCGTTAAAACTGTATTATCGCAAATAAGTTTGTTATACGACGATTTGGCAAGAGTCATATATAAGTGATTAGGCCTGGGACGGGTAACTGGGCTGCGGTAAAACAATTCCCAATCAGACATTTTGATCCCACATCTTGAGACCTACAGTGGGTACCAGGGTAGGGTCAGGTAATAGGGGGTAGGTTTGGGTAATAGGGCGGTCGGGTACCCGGGTAGTAATTTTGGACTAGTCCCAGCCCTATAAGGGATGTTATTCACAGATTGTTTATCACGGTCGCTCCCGACCATAGCCGTCAGGACATTTTTATTCCCACTGTGATACATAGCTACGATAATCAACAAGCATGGTATCACAGCGGGCATAACAAGGTAAACATGGCCTTCGATCCGTGAATCAGGGATGCAGGGATGTCTGATTTACATGCTGCGGTATCAGTTGCGTTCTTACTCCATGTCTCAGTAGGCACTAATATGGAATAGAAACAGATTACAAATACATGTCAGACTGCTTACATTGTCCCTTGTCTCTCGAACTGTGCACACTCAGCCGCTTCCTATGTGTAAGCTACAGATGGCTTTTAGCTGAAACTGCAACGCGTCAAAACGGCACAGTGATGCGTCAAAACGGCACAGTGATGCGTCAAAACGGCCATCTAGACATGGCGAACACAGGGGAGGGTGGACGAGAGAGCCTCGAAGACGATACAAGATCAGGAAGACCTGTTAAGAAATGTTGATAAAATACAGGATATGATTATGGATGATCGACGGCTCACCACACATCACAAAGCTAATGCTACGGAAGCGTAGTGGGGCCACGGTGAATTTTTTTTTGTCTAAGTATCTCCTACGTAGGACTTAGTATCTCCTACATAGGACTTAGTATCTCCTACGTAGGACTTACTATCTCTTACGTAGTACTTAGTGTGGCCTAGAATCACTATCTCCTACGTAAGACTTAGTAACGCCTACGTAGGACTTAGTATATCCTACGTAGGACTTGACCACCCGATCCCGTTAGTCGCCTTTTTACGACAAGCATAGTCTAAGTAGGAGATACTAAGTCCTACGTAGGAGATAATAAATCCTACGTAGAAGATACTAAGTCCTACGTAGGAGATAATAAGTCCTACGTAGGAGATACTTAGTCTATGCTTGTCGTAAAAGGCGACTACGGATCGGGTGGTCAGGCTCGCTGACTTGGTTGATACATGTCACCGATCCCAATTGCGTGGATCGATGTTCATGATATTAATCACTGGATTGTCTGGTCCAGACTCGATTATTTACAGACCGCCGTCATATAGCACTGAGTGCGGCGTTAAACAAAAAACCAACCAACCAACCAACCAACTTAGACAAAACAGATTTCACCGTGGCCCTATACTACGCTTCCGAATAATGCAGTATGTTAGGCATAGCTCATGATAGCCTTGAACCGGGCATGACAAAGGCTTCAGCACGAGGGGATCCAAAGACTCAGACTCCTGACCATCATCTTTGGTGAGAATAAACACGAATTGTTTTATAGGCATTACCTAGAAGTGGACGGATGACAAAGTAGATAACAACTTCTTTAATTACTGGGAAGGCGACGTTTCGGAAAAGATCCTTAAACCGTTCTCAAGCATGGCCGAATAATGAGCATGGTACAAAATATATATAGTAGGTGGAGAATCAACAGTAGACGATTAACAGTAACAACAATTGCATACACGAGTGGGATAATATGACTAGGTTAAGTAATGACAATAGAAGGATAATAATGTAACAACAGACCCGTGAAGATCCGGGGTAGAATAGGTCTTCAGCAACCCATGCTTAACCCACCCGTAAGAGGCGACTATGCTTGTCGTTAGAGGCGACTAACGGGATCGGGTGGTCAGGCTCGCTGACTTGGTTGATGCATGTCATCGATCCCAACTGCGTGGATCAATGTTCATGATGTCAAACATTTGATTGTCTGGTCCAGCCTCGATTATTTACAGACCGCCGTCATATAGCTGGAATATTGCTGAGTGCTGCGTTAAACAAACAAACAAACAAACAAACAAACAAACAAACAAACAAACAACATGATGGGCAGAGAACACATGAGGTGGAAGGCAATGAGATATGAAGCCAAGTTTACATAGGTGTGGCGATTATTGCTCAATGAGTTCACAGTAGGCGGATGGGATGAAATCGCCTTGATCGCTGTTGATTGATGGCGTGTGGTGGCGAATGTGGACTGCTTCTGTTCGTTTTCTTTTAGTGAAGTCATGGAGGTTGTTGGAGAGGATTTGGACATTTTCCCACTTGATGTTGTGGTTGAGGGAGTTGCTGATATGGTCCGAGATGGCTGATTTACTGTCTGATTTGATGGTTAAAGAAAATAAATGGTTGAGTCTTGGTGACAGTCAAAACAGTGAAAAAAAACAACGTCTCTCCCTCCGAAGATGGCAAAGTCTGTTTTATCATTTGTTGAGGTGATGACTTCGGTTTTCTGGTATTCCGAAGGAATGAAACTATACCTCCCGAAAGGCCGGGCCATTAATATTCAGTATTATGCCTACTGAGGCATTTGGGTGAGAACATCAAGGCTAAACGTTGTGGAAAACTTAGGAAAGGTGAGTTGTTCCCCCAGGACAGTGCACCTGTGCACCAGTCTGTTGTCGCCATGGCTGAAATGCATGGCTGTGGCTTTGAACTCATTGAACATCCTCCGTATTCACCAGAACTGGCCTCGTCAAATTCCCACCTCTTCCCAAACTTGAAGAAAGAACTGTCTGGCAAGCCTTGTACATATGATAATGATGACGTCATTTCTGCTGTGGAGGACTCTATGCTTTTAAACAACCATCATCATCATTTGAACAATGCTTTCCAACCAGTTCTTCCTTCAAGTTCGGGAGGAGGTAATCTGACGGTGCCAAATCTGGTGAATACGGAGAATGTTCAATGAGATCCAGTATCTTTGGCAGAAGTGTGTGGACCTCGAAGGGGATAATGTTAAAAAATAATTAGCAATTTTACTCCACAAACGTAATCCATTATAGACAGGCTCAGGGCAGCCGCACCTCATATAGTAACTAAATCACGAAGGCAGGCGGACGCCAGCCTAAAGAGACTCGTGATGTGGATTTTTAGATACATGTAACTGTTTCGTGTTTTCTTAACGTAGATCATTCAACTGCCAACGGACTACTGGAAGACTAATGCTGTTGACCTTTTAGCCATAGATTTCATCTTATCTGAGTGCAACCATTCAGCACCTAGGTTAGGCACACAACATGATTGTCGCTAACCGATAACTGACACCTGTGGTGTTTTAGATGGTAGCTTCTATCAGCTATTTATGAAGATGCCGCCACTTGCCTTAGTGCTGATCGTGGGAATTCCGGGTTAGACAAGGAACCTATGCTAGTCTCCCCGAGGGACTTCCGGGCTGGAATTGGTCCTAAACAACCTATGGTCTCATGCCGTAGGGATTACGGGTAAGAATATTCTCCAGCGACCTATGCTTGTCTCCCCGAGAGACTCCTGGTTAGAATTGGCCCCAGCGACAAGTTCTGGTCGCATAAGTCGTGGACTTGTGTGTCATTGTGCACCGACGGCGCTATTGGAATATTTCAAAGACGAACCTTTGTGTACTATCAAAACATTTCATCTATCTGCAACCAATTCCCAATTGAACCCGTTGAATGATTGTCAATGTGCAATAAGTGGCTTGATTTCAAGTGGAAATATATCCGTCAACTCTCCGCTGTCATATTGAATTGCATTGTTACATCTGTGATGTATGTTTCTTGGTTTTCGAGACCGCACTCACCAACATTCCAGCTATATCAAATAATCGAGTCTGGACCAGACAATCCATCGATTGACATGATGAGTATCGATAAACACAATTGGTATAGGAAGACATGCATCAACCAAGTCAGCAAGCCTGACCCCCGACCCACTTAGTCGCCTATTACGACAAGCATGGGTTGCCGAAGACAGGTCCCGGATCTTCACAGGTTGAGTTTAATGCCGATTTAGACAGTGTTCTGGTTATATCTCGGCGTGTCAGCTTAACGTGAAGGGGAAAGTGATGCAGGTCGCTAGGGACGCAACTCTACACAACGAATTGCCGCGCTTTAGACGACTGGGCCACCCATGGGCCCACTCCCTCCCAGCCAAGCAAATGCTTACTTAGATCCAGGGTTTGCTGTGGTTTACCTATCACATAGAATCCAATATATAGGTAATCGATGTTGCAACAATGGCAAATCAATAAACTTGAAGAAACACCCTTGTTCACCTGTTCGGAGTGAATGAGTATGGTTTTACGCCGCTTTTAGCAATATTCCAGCAATATCACGGCGGGGGATACCAGAAATGGGCTTCACACATTGTACCCATGTCGGGAATCGAACCCGGGTTTTCGGCGTGACGAGCTTTAACCACTAGGCTACCCGACCGCCCCTCACCTGTTCGGAAGACGACAGAACAGATTGGTGATTATGAGATAAGCAGTTGATGAACCAGAGCATGCTGTTAGGCGGACCCCACATTCCCGAGCTCTGCGTTAGAGCAATGAGGAATGTCGTGTGATACTCAACACAACTATGTGTCACCGACATCACTGTTGTAAGAACACATGCGGATGACTGTACAAGATATCTCCATAGGCGACAAATAATTTGTTTTTTCCCCAGTTTAATATTGTAAATAATTGCTCAGCAGATAAGCAGAAAAAGCAAGTGCTTACGCTTTAAAATTTCTATCATAATTATCACATTGAATTTAGATTATTTTTTTATATGCATACCCCCCCCCCCCCCCCCCAAAAAAAAAAAAGAAGAAAAAAGAACCAATAACAAACAAACAAAATAACACCAAAACAACCTCAACAACAACCCCTCCCCCAAAAAAAACAAATCGCACAAACAAAAAGAGATATTTCACGTTATCTACTGTTTGCGTTCCTTGTGTTCATAGCCAAAACGCAAATTGCTTCGCTGATTCAATGATTTTGTTCAATCATTGTCTTTTTATAAAAGTGTCAAAAATTGTTTACTTTTATCGAAGTGTTTACCATGTGTTCTTTAGGCAAATGGCAGACACAAAGGTACATTTATAGGATCTGATGTTCAAGACTGGGCAAATACAGGAACATTGATCAAGACGCCAATCAAGCTTCAATCTCACCACTGCTGCGTAGAAAAGAGAGGTTGTGACGTACAGTCAAGATTACATCTGTTGTCAACTCTCTAATGCTCACAAGCAAACTATTGAAAAAACACTTATATTATGTGCATGGAGAACAAAACTTTGCACTTAGAGATCATGTTGAAGAAGTAAGCAATTTCTTAGCACTCTAACGGGCGGGCAGGCTCGCTGACTTAGTTGATGCGTGGATCGATGCTCATGATGTCAATCACTGGATTGCATGGTCCAGACTCGTTTTATTTACAGACCACCGTCATTTAGCTGGAATATTGCTGAGTGCGGCGTTAAACAACAAAGAAACAAACTAAAGAGCATATTTCTCTTTCTGTCAGACAGATTTCAACCAATGAACAAGGACAAGCAACACTGAGGGAGTCAGCAATGGGGCATTGACAGAAGATTACAGAACTC